AGGGGCGGGGCTAGGGCGGGGCTCCTCCCGTCCTCTTTTTTGCTTGCTGAAATATGGTAACCCTACCTAACCCAGTCTGGGGATGTCTTCTGAAGGGGATATCTGGGCCAAAGCCTTCTACTCCTTGAGCACACTTGTTCCCCCATTCACAGTGCCACCCCATTCTAGCAGTGAGCTCTCTATTTACAGCAAGCTGCAGCATGAAGTCTCAGCTACCTCATTCCCTCCCCCTCCCTTTCCTGTTGATCACTGCCAAGGGAATGCTGGGAAATGTAGTTCTTTCCCTGCTCCAGGAATGGCTCTATAGGCAGGGAGTTAACCAAGGAAGTACAGCTCCCAGGGCCCCCTGTTGGTTCTCAGCTCCCATGCTGGATCCCTGCCGCCCCTGCAAATGTGCCGCCCCAAGCACCTGCTTGCTTTGCTGGTGCCTAGAGCTGCCCCTGCTTCAATAAGCAGAGAATCCTCAGGCTCAAAGTTTTCTGTGTACTCTTTGTGAAAACTCTCAAAGCCCAAATAAACCCCTTTGACGTACCTGCAGACAGACACCTTTGCACATCTCTGACTGCCCTTTTATCTGTAGAGTCTCATTCAGGGATTTAAAGGTATCATCTAGCAACAGAAAGAGAGGCAGGAGAATTACATCAGCTCAACATCTGCAGGGCTAAGTTTTTCAAAAGTGTCTCTTGATTTGAGACATCTTAAAAGGGCCCTGACTTTCAAAAGTGCTGAGCACTCACACTGTGAAAATCAGGCCCCTTTAAGGTCTCAGGTTAGGCAACCAAAATCACAAGGCAATTTTGAAAATCTTGGCTTATGTGACACACTTAAGGCCACACACACAGGGACTCTAGGACAGAGCTGGGAATGGAAGCTTGATCACTTGAGTCCTAGCCTAGCATTTTAGCCACAAGGGCCGTCCTTTCTTCCTACCAGAATACAAAGTTGATGATCTACCTAAACCCAGCAGGTGTTTTCTCCCTTTAATTCTGTTGTGACCCATAAGGACAGTGAAGCTGGAGAGATGGTCACAGCTGCAGATGGTGTGAGTGCTGTTCGTGTGGAGAACAGTGCAGCCATCCTCAGCCCAGGTGCCATTCCCAGCTCTGAATTTCCAATGAACGCAGCGAGTCTCTTCCTCCTCTTTCTTTGCCTGGAAACAAAAACACCATCATCATCCTCCTCACTGGATCATGGGGAGAATACCGTTTCTTTTGTCACAAATCTCTAATACACAGTAATAAACCTGAAGTCACCGATGGCTTCATGGCTCTCATTGTGCTGCACACAACAACCATTTCGGACTTCCCATTGGCAGTGTAAATACAAGCGAGATGAAGAAGTTACTCACCTTATGCAGTAACGATGGTGCTTCGAGATGTGTGTCCCTGAGGGTGCTCCACTCTAGGTGTCGGTGCATCCCTGCATTGGAGATCGGAGATTTCTCACAGCAGTACTCGGTCGGGTGAAGGGCGTGCACAGGAGTTGTCTCATGCAGCCATTGGCACCTCCTGTAGCGCACACTCCCCTGACCGTCCCCTCCATTCCTTCTCTACCGCAGAGCTTGGCTGTGTGAACTCCAAAGTAGAGGGGAGGAGGGTGGGTAGTGGAGCACCCACAGGGACACACATCTCGAAGAATCATTGTTACTGCACAAGGTGAGTAACTTCTACTTCTTCGAGTGATGTCCGTGTGGGTGCTCCACTCTAGGTGCTTGTAGAGCAGTACCTCACCGGGGTGGTAAGGTTTCAGAGGTATGTATAAATGTGTGATGAGAGCTCAGTGAGGCCAATGATAGAGTCTGAGACAAGACCTTGGGTGATAGCATAATGCTTTCCAAAAGCGGGCTCTGATGTCCAGGTTGCAGCTCTACAAATATCTATTAAGGGGACATTGTTCAAGAATGTGATCGATGTCGTCATGGCTCATGTTGAGTGGGATCTGATGCCCACGGGGGGTTCTTTGTGATGCAGGTGGTTGCAAGTTTGAATACAAGTAGAGACCCATTTGGAGAGTCTCTGGGTTGATGTTTGCACAGCCTTTGGAACACTCGGCTGTAGAGACGAATAGTCTTGGTGACTTGTGGAATGGTTTAGTTCTGTCCAAGTAGAAGGCTACAGCCCATCTGACATCTCGCATGTGCAATGTTGCTTCTCGAGAGTCATTATATGGCTTGAGATAGAAGGCAGGTAAGTGTATGTTTTGGTTAATATGAAAATGTGTAGCCATTTTGGGCAAGAATTTTGGGTGAGAATGTTAACTTAATTTTGTCTTTGATAAATACAGTGTATGGTGGTTCAGCCATCAATGCTCCTATTTTGCGGACACGTCTGGCAGACGTGATTGCCACTAGGAATGTGACCTTCATTGACATATGAAGGAGTGATCAGGTTGCTAGAGGTTCGAAGGGTGGTCTTGTGAGATATTTGAGCACAAGATTGAGATCCCGTGGTGGTGCAGGTTGGCGTACTTCTGGGTACATGTTCTGTATACCTGCTAGAAAGCGCCATGTAATCGGGTGCGTGAATATTGAAGCCCCTTCTATCTCTTTGTGGAGGGCCGTGATGGCAGCCAGGTGTACTTTAATAGAGCTTATGGCTAACCCCGTTTCCTTCAGTTCTAGTAGGTAGTCTAGGATCATAGATAGCGGCGCCTTGGTCGCATCCAGCTGTTTTTGCTGACACCAAAGAGAGAATCTTCTCCACTTGTGGTGGTAAGTATTTCTAGTGGTGAGGTGATGGCTATTTAGTAATACATGTTTTACTTTCTCCGAACAGTTCAATTCCCCATGTTGGAACCAGAGAGGAGCCATACTTTGAGATGGAGCTTCGCTGGGTCTGGATAGAGCGTCAGGCCCTTGTTCTGGGATAGGAGGTCCGTCCGGAAAGGCAGCGGTTGTGGGGCAAGGCTGCTAGACGTGAGAGGTACAGAAACCAAGTCTGTCTGGGCCATGTGGGGACAATGAGAATGATGTATGATGCTCTGTCGAGTCGTATCTTGCAGATGACCTGTGAGATCAGTGGGATCGGTGGGAAGGAGTACATGAGTGATGCGTTCCACGGGATGAGGAAGGCATCCCCTAACGATCCCGGTGTCAGGTCTGCCCTGGAGCAAAATAGTGGACATTTGTGATTTATCACTGAGACGAAAAGGTCGATTGCTGGGTGACCCCATTTTTGGAATATTGTGTCGAGAACACTGTCGTGGATTTCCCACTCGTGTTCCTGTGAGAAGTGCCTGCTGAGATTGTCGGCTGTAGTGTTTTGGCACCCTGGTAGGTATGATGCTGTGATGTTTATATTGTTGTGGATGCACAAGTTCCATAAGTTCATGGCTTCTACGCATAGTGAGTGAGACCTGGCTCCCCTTTGGTGATTGATGTAAAACATGCACGCAACATTGTTGGTGAGAATAGAGATTGAGGTTTCTCGTACGAGTGGGAGGAAGTGTCGGCATGCATTGTGTACCAGGAGATTGATATGGAGTTCCAGGAGATTGATGGTGACCCCATTTTTGGAATATTGTGTCGAGAACACTCTCGTGGAGTTCCAGGAGACTGATATGTAGTCGAGTTTCTGTCACAGACCACTTGCCTTGTACATTATGGTGACCCAAGTGGGCGCCCCAACCTATCTGTTCTAATAGTCACTGATGGGGGGGGGGTCTTGTTGAAAGGGAATCCTGGAGCATACATTCCCTGGCTGTGTCCACCATTGTAGGGAGAGGATAACTCTTGGTGGTAGTGTCACAAGTCTGTTGAGAGAGTGTTTGATGGGTGCATAGACCGTGCTCAACCATTGCTGCAGACAGCGCATATGGAGTCTGGCATACTTTACTATGAAAGTCGTAGCTGCCATATGTCCCAGAATCTGGAGGCATGTCCTCACTGAAGTTTGTGGGCTGATGGAAATAAGATTGGTCAATGTAGTGAATCTGTGGTTTGGCAATATTGCCTTGGCTTGTATGGAGTCTAGGTCGGCTCCGATAAATTCCAGTCGCTGGGTTGGTTCCAGGGTGGATTTCTTTTTGTTTATCTGTAGACCTAGCTGGTGAAACAGGTCTATTGTGGTCTTCAGCATGCCTGCCGTTTGTTGGTTGGCACCCTTGTGAAGGCAATCGTCCCAATGGGGGAAGATTATGAATCCTTTGCATCATAAATGTGCTGCTATTACTGCGAGTGTTTGAGAATACGCGGGGAGCAGTGGACAGTCCGAAGGTAAGGACCCTGTATTGGTAATGGTTGGGTCCTACTGTGAACCGCAAGAACCGTCAGTGGGCAGGATGTATTGTAATATGGAAGTTTGCATCTTGGAGGTCAAGGCTGCAAACCAGTCCTCCCCGTCTAGCACTGGGATTATTGTGGCCAGAGTGACCATTTTGAACCTGTAGTTGCCTACGAACCTGTTGCGTTTTCAGAGATCTAAGATTGGTCTCCATCCCCCTCCTTTCTTCTCTGTCAGGAAATATTTGGAATAAAAACCCCTCCCTCGATATTGATGTGGTACTGGTTCTACAGCACCCAGCAGTAGGAGGTGGTCTACTTCCTGTTGCAGAAGGTGCTCATGAGAGGAGTCCCTGAAGAGGGACAGGAAAGGAGGGAGGGTAGGGGGGATGGCTGTGAAAGGAATGGTGTAGCCAGATTATATGATCTCCAAAACCCATTGATCTGTGGTTATCGCAGCCCAGGCATGGTAAAATGGGCATAGGCGGTGACCAAAATTGTGGGATGGGGTATCTGTTGGCACTAGAGGTGTGGGGAAGTCGTGCATACCCTCGACCAAGACTTCAAAATTGTGGCTTAGATGTAGATGGACGGGTGGATGAGGCCTGGTTCTGTGGAGCTCATCGTCTCTGGGCTTGTTGTTTGGGTCTGTTCTGAGTGAAGTTTCGTGGTTGTTGATGGTTAAACGAGGTGTCTCGTGACCTCTGTTATGATGTAAAGTGAGGGCATTTGTCAGGCGGTGGGTGTATGCCTAGTGTACGCGGTGTCGTTCGGGAGGCCTTCATGGTATGGAAGACGTCGTCTGTTTGAGATGAGAATAGTTTATTCCTATCGAAGGGGATGTCCTCCACTTTTAGCTGTAGTTCTTTTGGAATTTCCGAAGCCTGCAACCATGATGTTCTTCTCAGAACCACAGCTGTTGCGGTTGTTTGGGCAGCTGTGTCCGCTACATCCACAGAGGCTTGCAGCGCTGTGCGGGCTATTAACTGACCCTTATGGGAATGGCTGAGCCATTACAAACATTGAATCTATCTCTCCTTGTAAGTATTCTCACAC